CTAGGATGAGTAAGCATAATTTAGGGAGGCAAGTTCTGGCTTAACATATGGAACTTTCCAAGGAGGTGGCTATAAAGTTGAGGGCATGCCTGGAGGAGTAGTGGATTCTTTGCCCCCAGAAATATTCAAACACAGTCTATGTAGTCATTTCGCTGGATGCTGAAAAACCAAAAGAAGCATTAGGTATCCGCCCATACACCAACACTATTGAGCACCTACCACATGCGTGTTCCATGCTGTGGAATGGGGACACCAAGGTAGGTAAGACAGGCAAGGTCCCTGTTTTCACAGAACTTGTAAAACAGCACCCGATGCAGACAATAAACACGAGAACAAATACTAAAACAAGGCAGTTGCTGATTAGGAACATTTCGGTGATGGAAATGAATAAGATGGGGGTGCTGACTTGATTGGCTATGGGGTGCTTGGCTGATTGGCTGCTTTGATCAAAGCAGGTGACATCTGAGCTAGGGCGGGACAGGTGAGAGTTGGGAGAAGAACATCCCAGCTTCTGAAACAGTGAGAGTTGAGAGCTCTGAGCCAGCAAAGGGTTTGGTTTGCTGAGAGACCAGGGGTGACGCCGGGAAGCACTTTGAGGGAAAAGAGGGTGAGGCCGTGGAGGCAGGCAGAGCTACACCCCACACAGCTCTGTGCGTCCCAGGGAGAAGTTTTTGTTGAAAAGAATGAGATATAACTGAAACATTTTAAACAAGAGAGTGATATAATTGACTTATATTTTTAAAAAATTAGATGGTGTACAAGATGATCTATACATTCTTTTCTAAAGCTGAGATTCTGACCCTATTAGGATAGGGTCCTCACCACGTCCTCCTGCACGTAGCAAACACTTATGTATCACACCTTTTGGTATTTGTTCTCTTTAGCACTAACCTTCTACCTGGAGGAAGAGGGCACCAAACTGCAAATTTCAACAGTCGCTGGGGAAAAGTGACCCATTCTTGTGATTTATCCTGAATTGGTCTTCACCATTAGCGCATATTTCCGGTAGATGTATCTGTTCTGCTCTGCTGCTCTGTGCCTGCTAACCCTGCCCCCCTCCCCCGCCCCCAACACACACCATACCCAGCGCTTCTACCATCAGCTCAGCAATGCCATCACTGACGACCGATTGGACCCTTTCTTCCGGTCCCAACTCATTATTGTGCAGCATCCTGGAGGGCCCGTCTCTTCTGTCACAATGGACCGTCCTTTTGTACCAGCACCTTGGCCTGAACTCAAGGCCATTTTCTCCCTTACAGTCCATGAGACTCGAGTTGCCTTGAGAACGGGGGTTCTAGCTGGTTCCCGACTATAGCTGGGTATTCACCAGTGTGGCACCTACGATTGTTAAGTCTTTAGAAAATGCTGCTGAATGAACGGATACCCTGACCTTGGAGGCACCCTGCCTAGACCAGAGATCCTTTTGGACACCAACTCTCCTCTCTGCACTCAACTGGATCATCCTCCTTCCAATTTCTACACTGTGAAACACGCTGGCTCTGTGCCAGTTAGACTGTCCTAACTGTTTTAACTGGAGTTGGTACTGAGCCCTTTTTTTGTTTTTTTAAATCATGCAAGGCCCAAGCTTAAGATTGTTTTCCTGAATTGTGACTGTCTTAGTAATGATAACTCCAAAAAACCTAGTCCTCAGATGTTCTGCATCATTTCCAAAATAACAGTTCACATTCATTGTTCCCTACTACTTGCCAGGCAACATGCTAAGTCTCCTTTTGTCCTCCCTGCCACCCTACATGGAAAACATTGTAATCCCCATTTTAAAGATGAGGAAATTGCAGCACAGAGAGGCTAAGTGACTTGCCCAGGGTCACACAGCTAAAAGTAGATCTGAGATTTTCAAGATTCTTTTGAATATGAAACTTGCATTCTTAACAACTTAGGGGAAAAGATTTATAAAATAAAATTCATAATAATACATCCACATTAGCATAAATAAATGCATAATTTAATTGGTGTGGTACTGCAAAATGGGTGTTATTATAGAGCTCTCTGTTGTATAACTAGATAGATTTTATTTTCTTTGTCACATATTTTTCCTCTTCACCTCCAAAAATTTTGTCTATTCATAATCTTTACTAGCATATCAGAGCATATTTAAGATTTTTTTGTAACTCTAAAGAATTTATTTTAACAGAAGAACCCAGGAAAACTAGAAAGGCTTCTTAGAAAATAGCCCAGATCTTATTAGATTTTAAAGGTCTCAAATACAGGGTATGAAAAGAACCTAAGAGTTCTCATACACAACTGAAATGTATATGAGATCAAAAACCATTCAGAGTTTTTAAAATCTGCTCTATTTACAGAGGGTCTCAGGAACCAAAATAAACTCATCCTCCACAGTTCTTTGAGTGACAGTTCTAAAATGTCCAAAAGACAAAATTTTCATTTTTAACTTAACATCAAAGCACACATTCAGATATTTTCTGATTTAAAAAGAAACTTCCTGTAAAAATGACTGATGCTTCTGATGTTATCTAAAACACATATAAAAATACACATGTACCGGTCTACCTGGAAAACTAGAGAATTACAACCCAGGGCACTAGTCTGGGATAAGGCAGAAGTCCAGATGGAAGTCTTATCGAAAAATAATAAAAATAGGGCGCCTGGGTGGCTCAGTTGGTTAAGCGACTGCCTTCGGCTCAGGTCATGATCCTGGAGTCCCTGGATCGAGTCCCGCATCGGGCTCCCTGCTCGGCAGGAGCCTGCTTCTCCCTCTGCCTCTCATTCTCTCTCTCTCTCAAATAAATAAATAAAATCTTTAAAAAAAAAAAAAGAAAGAAAAATAATAAAAATAATAAAATGTTTCTTCAGTAAGATAGTTATCTAAAGGAATCCTGATTCTAACATTTACACTCACTATCATGAGTAGATTGTGAAATATTATACAATTTATTTAAGACATACAGAGAATCAGAGAAAGTACTAGCAAATTACAAATACAATTTAAGTTATAGTATATTATTAGTACAAATACAATTTAAGTTATAGTATATTATTATAGTACAAGCCCATCGTAACTGGGGAAAATAATTTCCCACCTTGGAAAAATTAGGAACTCAATTAAGAATCCAACTTGCAGAAGAGGTTACACATCTATGAACTTGTGAATAGCTTAGGTTTACAAGTCAGTATCCAGACTGATATTACAGCATGGACTTTGCACAGACACAACCAGAGCCTTCCTTCTACACCTAGACCTGCACACATGAGGTTGGGGGTAAGTTCCTTGCCTACCCAAGCCTCAGCTTTCTCATCTATAAACTTAGAATATCACACCATTACATTTCTCCCAGAGTTCTGTATATACGAATATATTTTCTTTTATAGATTGGAACCCTGTTGTGATACTTCCCTTGTGAACTTTGTTATGAGGCTATGGAATTAGCAAACGACCCAATGATGAGATCTCTGATTCTTCTTCTTTTGCTGCATTCCAGTCTGTAGTCTGCAATGGGTTTTCAATCTATTTATTCACCTTTTTATCCCTCATTCAATAAACACCGAGAGCTTACTATGTGACAAGATCTCCACTGCAAGAGAAATCAGCCTCTGTATTTTATTGTAGATGGTTTCATGAAATATTATAAGTTATGATAAATTACTATAGTAATATAGCAAACTTAGAAAATATTACAGTTCATGTAACTTATAATGGGAATTAAGAATAAGTTTTGACAATGTTACATATCCTCTAGAAAATAGTTATATGTAAATTCTTTTCACAGGAGTTATTATATAAATTAAATAAATCTAAGGTGTATATGAGGATAATCCAAGGAAAGGGATTTAGAAACGGAAACAACTTTAAAAATTATTGTATTTGTGACTCAGTATTGAATTATCTTTCAGAGTAGTTTTTTTTTAAGATTTTATTTATTTATTTGAGAGAGAGAGAGCAGGGGGAGGAGCAGAGGGAGAGGGACATGCAGACTCCATGCTGAGCAAGAAGCCTGATGCGGGGCTTGATCCCACGACCCTGAGATCATGACCTGAGCCAAAATCAAGAGTCGGAGGCTTAACTGACTGAGTCACCCAGGCACCCCTCAGAATAGGGTTTAATATCTAGAGTGATTTAAAAATAGGCCACAATTGGAAGCAATTAAGAAACTGTTCTTCTGTTTTTACTTTATTTTCCTTAAGAGTCATAAGCCATTGGCTATTTCTACTCATGGAAAACAATTGATTTTCACAACACATATATGTATATATTTCTGTGATGTTCTAAGACATTTCCTTTAATCATTATAAACATAATCCATTTTAACAGTAATTGAGTGTTTTGAATGTATGGCAACAGCAAACTAGAATGATGAAAGTACGAGTATAGAAGGAATTGGCAAACTACTGCTTGTGGACCAATCCAGCCCAATATTTGTTTTTGTAAATAAAGTTTTATTGAACACAGCCAGGTCTGTTTGTTTACATATAATCTATGGCTGTTCATGTGATACGTTGGCAGGGTTGAGTAGCTGTGATAGAAATGGTATGGTCTACAAAACCTAAAATATTTTCTATCTAATCTTTTACAGACAAGGTTTGTGTACTCTTGCTTCATAGTAAAGGTATTATAGAATTTCCATGCCAGTTTTGAGTACTGACACAAAAATCAAAAAGGAATTAAAGGAGATATTTAGTTGTGTATTTATTTCCCTTTAGACTTGTGCCCAATGCATATCAGTGGTAGGACACATGCTACACATTTGAGTAGACAAATTCTCTAACAAGCGGTCCTTGCTGGGCTAATGGGCCATGCTGTTTCCCCACTGATACAATAAAAATTCCAAGTGTTGTCCCGTCCACGGAACAAATGCCCACAAGAACTGCATAATCGTCCTTTCTTTTAGGAGCTGGGGATTATAGTTTGTGTCTATTTTTTGTTGTTGTTGGAAATACTGTGACATTCTATAGTTCTGTAAACACTACAGCTTGTTTCATTGAAAATGACCATTACAAGTAAAATAGAAAAAAAGAATTATTACCTGTATGCTGTTCTTCAATCCAGACTTGTAAATACATGAAGAGGAGAAGCCCTGCTACTCCAAAAATGAGCACCGAGAGGAAGACTTGTTTGGGGTTCATGACCATTTCAGATGGCTGCCTTTCTCCTCATTTCTGAAGACCACATGATTTGTTTTTCCGTAGAGCTTTGGTCCTGTCTTGTTCTATTAAGTACTCCTTCCATGAAGTAACCTAGAATTTTTTAAAAATCCACATTGTACCTTGCTGATGACATTTCTTTCCCAATACAACATAAATATGCAGCATATCAATGCTAGTGAAGACGTAGGTGAACTGGAACACTCTGAAGACAGAAGGGACTGTAGGAGATTGTCCCTAGAATGGCAATTTTCTATCATAAACTTAGGAATGTATTATCCTACCATCAATAAGTAACACCCTCACATTTAATTAGGTGCAATATAGCCAGACTTAAGCCACCCTATGCTGGAAAGAGTAAAGCAGGTTCGGGTTACCTTAAAATGATTGCGAGGGGAAAGAAGACTATCAGAGTAGATTGTTGAATGAGTTTTGAAAAACATGTTTATAGAATAAAGGGGGAAAATCACTTCCTGACTGAAAAATATATAAAAATGGAGGGTTCAATCTATCATTTCCCTCTCATGTAAAAGTAAAAGATTTCTCCAACTGAAAGGGTACATTTACAATCCCTCCAATGCACAAAAGGATAAATATTAAAAGGTCAGATTTAAAGGGCTTCTCCCATAAGAACATGGGAGTACAGAAATCAACCTCAGATTACAGAAAACTACCTCCGTAATGAAAGGCTTAAAGAAATATTGAAATGACTTTGTTTTAGAACAATCTCATTTAGTGTAATCTTACCCTTTTACTTTTTGTAAGTCACATCCACGTTCGAGAATCTAATGAAAATGCAAACCCTCTTAGACAAATATAAACACACACAAAATCTTGCATAAAGAGCAGGATGCTTAGCTATTGTCACTGGAACCCAAGTTAAGAAGCCCTGCTTCCCATGAACTGCCACGCAAATACGCAGTCACCTGCATGGTCAGCTCACATAGTCCTGCTAATGAGGCCAAGGTCATGGCTTTTATCTAACACTGGCCAAAGACCTTGGCTCTGTTCTTTGGCCACAGACCACACCTCCTTTTCGGATGAGCTGAATGTTTTCTCACTGTGAGGACATCACATGCACTGCTGTGTCTAAAAATGATCTCTCTTTTTTCTCCAAATGTGCCTCAAAAACTTCTGGGAGAATATTGATTTAGCCTTTTTAAGAGGTGTTTGGTGAGGGCCCCTGAGTGACTCAGTCGGTTGAGCATCTGCCTTCGTCTCAGGTCATGATCCCAGGGTCCTGAGATGAATCCCGCATTGGGCTCCCTGCTCAGCAGAGAGTCTGCTTCTCCCTCTCCCTCTGCCCCTCTACACACTTGTGCTTTTTCTCTCAAATAAACTAAATCTTAAAAAAAAACACAAATCCAACAAATAGTTAAAAGTGTGTATGCAGAACAACAAAAGAAGTCATGATATAAATACATTTTTTTTATATTTTACTTATTACCCAGAAGGGGCCAGAGAAGAGCAGTGATTGTTAGAATTACCTGAGGAGTTTTCTAGAATCCACTTGTCTGAGTCACCTGAGGAAGGGGCCACAGTTTTTCATGAGGGCTTTTGAGCATTTCAAGCATTTTCTTGATTTTGCTAGTAGAGTAAGTTTTTAAATAAGTAGAAGAACTGAGAGTATCATCATACTGTTATTTGATGGGTGGTGCTTTGCTCTTATATTGATTCAAAGCTAAAATCTTATGGGCTTTCCAAACATGCAACAAAGAACAGTTCCTGAGAGAGAGCTGCAATCTGAGGTGTTCCAAGATTGGGTCCCTCAAGGGAAACTACAAGAAGCCAGCTTTCTCTTGTCTTGATGCTGCAGTTAAACAACGAACAGACATAATTCCTGGGTGCACAGGAAGATTCAGTTAGGAGAAACCAGTTAAACAAAATCCAGTACTAACAGAGAAATAGCTGTTTACAAGAAGAAAGAGACTTTTACAATCTGTCTACATAATTAAAATTTATCTCAGAAGAAAGAGGATAGAAGAAAATGCATAAATCAGAACAGAGCCACGAACCTGTGGGAATAGTAGATGTGAAAAGCCAGAAGAGAGACTCCTTGAGGGTTTGCAGAGGAAAATTATTACCTACGATGCTGGAAAGAGATGAAGAATTTGCCCTTCCTTTCTTCAGGAGATGTTGCTCTACTCTGACATATCCTCCTGGGTAAGAAGTCAGGAGAAAAGCCATAATTGTTATTATGGCAGATGTGAGTAGGATTGAGTGATTAAAGCCACAAGGCAGAAAGGCAATCTGGTGTAAAACGAAGAGATACGTTTGATTTTCTCCCATCTCAGTCCATTAACCCAACGTTGGCATTAGGAAATGGCTCTCATTAAACAAAGGTGAGGCAGGAGGAGCAGTATTGCTTTAAGCAAACCTGAAGGTCAGTTGTGATGGGAAAACACACCTATTTGGAGATCATACATCTACCTCTACGCCTGCAGGAAAAGTGCAGACTACTGGAGATTGAAATTACTTGGAATAATGCTGTTTTATGTATAAGCATTATACATTTCCATGGTCAGAGGCTTCCTGTATTGCATTCAACTCCTTCCTCTCCCCAGTCATAAACACAGTACCTTGAACCTAACGGGTACTCAACAGTGTGCATTGCACTGAACTGAATTCAGAGCTCCAATAACAAAATACAGGCAAAGTAACTAATTTTCTAGTTGTACTTGTAAATCCTTAGTCCTAACTTCCAAATGGAGAAATATGGACTATTAAAATCCTGAAAGAGGAATCTATGTGCCTTTGTTAGAAAAAATACATATTTATTTTATTCGCATATCCTATTGATTTATCCCAAACTAACACAAAAAGATATGTAAAAACAATTGTTTCACTACATTATCTCTTTTCCAACGCTTTAAAATCATTCAAAATGTTCGACATCATTAATCCTCAGGGAAAAGCAAATCAAAACCACAATGAGATATCACGTCAAGCCTGTTAGAATGGCCACCATTAAAAAGACAAGAGATAACAAATGCAGGCATGGATGGGGAGACAAGGGATCTGTCCACACTGTTGGTGGGACAGTAAACTGGTGCAGCCACTTAAGGAAAACTGCATGGAGGCTCCTCAAACAATTAAAAACAGAACTACCCCATGATCCCACAATTCCACTTCTGGGTAAATGAAAAAACTTTGTCAAAGAGACATCTGCACCCCCACGTTCATAGCAGTGTTATTTACAATAGCCAAGACATGGAAATAACCTCTGTCCACTGATGGATGAATGGATTAAAAATATTACAGCATATTCTTATTATTCTTTTTAAAAAAGATTTTATTTATTTATTTGACAGAGAGAGCGAGCACGCACGCACAAACAGGGGGAGCGACAGGCAGAGGGAGAGGGAGAAGCAGGCTCCCCGTGGAGCAGGGAGCCCAATGCAGGACTCCCGGGGCTTGATGCGGGGCTCCTGGGGCTCGATCCCAGGACTCTGGGATCATGACCTTGGCTGAAGGCAGGCACTTAACCGACTAAGCCACCCAGGTGCCCCTATTCTTATTATTCTTAAGGTGCTGTGCATCTTAAACCTACACAGTGCCATATATTAGTTATGTCTCAATAAAACTCGACAAATTATTTTAAATAACCCTGGTTTCCAATAGAAGAATTTTAGGACTTTAGTGTGCTAATTATTAGATGGAGGCAATTTATTTTTTTATTTTTAAAAATTTTTTTAGAGATTTATTTATTTATTTGGAGAGAGAGAGAGCACCAGTGGAGGGGAGGGGCAGAGGGAAAGAGAGAATTTCACACTTACACGGGGCTCAATCTCACAACCCTGAGATCATGGCCTGAGCTGAAATCAAGAGTTGGACACTTAACTGACTGAGCCACTGGGGTGCCCCTAGAGGCAATTTATTTAAAAGGAAATTATGAGTTGTCCAGTTGGGCAGAAGTCTACGATTTTAGGGAGGGAGTGATGAAATGTAGAGAGGACGGTTTGGAACAAGTTGGCATAGACCAGTTTGGTGTAGAAGAACCCCAGAGTCAGGAGATCATCTGTCCTTACCCTCCACCTTAGTAGGACCTCAGCAGTCCTTGCCAGTATCTACCTTTTCCTCATACTCTTGAGCGAGTAAGAGACCATCAGGGATGAACTTCTTCAATCTTCCACCTGCCCTCACCAAGTTTACTACCACCTGTCCCCACTCATAATTCTTTGCCTCAATCTCTTCCAGACTACTGTGAAACTCAATTCCATCAATACCACGCCAGCCTGGATCTTATCCTGAACCTCATCCCCCAGTGACGTCCTCTGTAACCCCTCCAGCGACTGCCCTATTGCTGTCATTCCCAGATGAGCCTGAAGAGAGCACTCTGCCCCGATGGTCTCCAGTGCCCATCTCCCAGCCAACTCTCCCCCCACAGCTGCCCAGGAAGCCAGAAGACGTGAGGGGGCTCACAGGTGGTGTAGGGACTGAAAATTTATAATCCCCTGGGGTTTTATTTTGTTTTGATTTTTCCTATTCTACTTACCTCCTCTATGAATTTCCTGTTTGTATCTCTTCCCCATTTTTCTTATTGATGTGTAGCTCCTTTTGCATTTGGGATGGCGATTCTCTGTCAGTTATAGACATTACAAAAATCCTCTTGTGTGACTTTTTCTTGCCTCCCGTCCTCCCCCACTCCCTTCCCTTGCTGGTGGTGTGGTTGTCTTATTATGAAGAAGTTTTAAATAAAATTTTGTCATTCTTTCCTTCTTGATATATCAGCTAAAGTCTTGAAAGAAAGCACAGGATATACTCAAGCCCATGAAATTGTGGAGAGGTTAGTAATGGGGCAATTCCAAAAGACTGATCAGGGTTCTGGGAAACCAATAAAGGATAGAGTGGTTCCCAAGAGTGAGGAAGAGCAACCACTCCTAGAAGTGAAAACAGAAAGTAGAGAGCTATTCTTGGAGGGGCTGAGAGGAGAGGGCTGGCTGACGAGAGCTGTCATTTATTGCACAGGGAAACAGACAACATGTTGTATTGGGGTGTTGAGGGAACCAGAAACATCACTTGCCCATCCTCAATTTCTTCCTGCCCTTAGGACCATGTCAGTGACTCCTGTGTGGCAAACCCTGTTGAAAGCC